GTTTTGAACGTTTTGGTGGGCTTGAGACAAATGGGCTTGGCAAACAAATTCAAATGATTAATTTGAATATCCGTAACAGCCGCCAAAAGATTTTCCCCAATGACAAATTTATGGAACAGAGTGAACACGCGCCGTCAGGGTAATCATTCCATTGGAAAAATAATGTCCAAGGCTACAACTTTTGTGAAGACCATAAAATCTAAATCTGTCAATACGGTACTCATACTGGCACAAAAAAACTGCAGAGAAAATATCCTCTATACCAAAGTTTCCCACTATAAATCTAAACCAAACAACTCACATATTCAGTACAAAAGGCTTAGAAAATAAAATTCATATTCTACCTAAACCATAAACGGTTAATAGGCCAGCACCAACACTCAAGGAAATTACCAACATTTCAATCTCTCATCAAGGATACCAAAACTCCAATTCTCAGATACAACCTCCTTGGATTCAATCGCTACAACTATAGATTCTAGAAATTCCATTAACCGTAAATACTCGATAAATCAATGTCTCACCCAAATCTAAGGTCCCAATAGTTTCTAGTTGATTAGCACAATATCTTGTCTACTACTACTCGCACATATGCTTGCAACACAAGCAATACCACCCAACCACTACTTCTTACGTAAGCAAGAAGTATCAAACAATTAAGCAATCATAAGTATGAAGAAGAACAGTCATAATGTTATTAGCTAACACTATCATGTATATCATTCATCTAATTACAATGTAATCTAACAGTATCAAACTCAACAATATCAACATAAGGAGAACATCATTATCATCATCATCAAAGCAAAGCATCATCAAAGTACATAACAAACAAAACACTGTCAGAGTGCACAACAAAATCATGATAAGTACACAACTCACGGCCGATTGGATCGACATGCTCTGATATCACTTAATGTGACACCCTCTACCCGCATATCATAATACAAATAATAATATTTAAATAACACAGTCTTTCATTTTTTTTAATATACCAAAATCGAACAAATATAACGATACACTATCCAAACGTCAATAACAAACTTCGATAGGAACTCGAATCTTTCTGGCTGATGTACACATCAAGATTGAATTCCTAGGGGGCATTTGTTGAGACTACTCGAAAACCAGGGAAATCGAAAGATGTACTTATGAAGCTAATCGAAAGATGGAGGAGGATGAACACCTATCTGGAACGTATTAGGAGTTTTATGTATTCGTGCTAGAAATATAGTCGAAAAGTTTGAAGCATACATAAAACTTCTCGAAAAATATTGAGATCAACTCCTGCCAATAACAGCTGATTCGAGATCGAAGACAATTATTTCGAGTTGAACAATGTTCGAGATTTGGTGAAGTTGTGTAGGTGCTTATGATCATACAAAGACAGTTAGCGTCCAAGTCGAGAAGTTAGTATACGCGAAGAACGGTTATGGGAAGTTACACTTTAGAAGCCACATAATGAGCATAGTGGGTAGCGGTTATCTCATAGTGGCCTACGTGCACGAGCGTCTGAGTGAGTTAACCGTCATTGATTCACTCTATAAATTCAAGAAGCCTGCATTGTCACAAAGGTCGGAAAAACTCATACTGTCAGAACTAAATTCTCAAGCACTCTCTGCCCG